CCGACGGCATTGCTCAAGTCAGCGTGCCTTTCAAGTGACCTGATGGCTTTTGGCGGAACTCCCCAGAAGTCTCACGCCTGAGGAGAGTCGATTCAGCTAAATGCTTCGATGTCCCCAGGAAACAATGGCTCTGTCCCAGAACATAACATGGCACATTCTGTATTTTACAATTGGAAAGGTGTTTGGCCATTCTGGAGCTCTCAGCTGAAACTGCTCATCCTTCTACAGTCCCACAAAGAGTACTGTAGTAATTAGAGTCTTGGACTAGGACCTGGGAGACCGGGTTGAGGCTCAGTGGGGCGACCTTGGGCCAGTCCCTTTCTCTTAGCTTAACCTACCTCACAGAGCAGTTGTGAGGATAAAGTATACCACATAGAAGGCCTATGTACACTGCTGTGAACTCCTTGAGGAAAGGTAAAGGGTAAAGGGACCCCTGACCATTAGGTCCAGTCGTGGCTGACTCTGGGGTTGTGGCGCTCATCTCGCTTTATTGGCCGAGGGAGCCGGCGTACAGCTTCCAGGTCATGTGGCCAGCATGACTAAGACGCTTCTGGCAAACCAGAGCAGCACACGGAAATGCCGTTTACTTTCCCACCAGAGCGGTACCTATTTATCTACTTGCACTTTGACGTGCTTTCAAAGTGCTAGGTTGGCAGGAGCAGGGACTGAGCAACGGGAGCTCACCCCGTCGTGGGGATTCGAACCGCCAACCTTCTGATCGGCAAGTCCTAGGCTCTGTGGTTTAACCCACAGCACCACCCGTGTCCACCTTGAGGAAAAGTGGGGTGTAAATGTAAATAAATAAAAAATTCAAGTGGAGGCAGGGTGCTGAAGAACAGGATGAGAATAAATGCAAAACGCACAGGGCGTCTGCCTTCCATTCTGTCCACAGTGCCATAAGCAAAGGGCATGAAATTATTACTTTTATTTATATTGAGTTCCCACAATAACATATTTTTTCTTTCTTACAGATAACAGCATACAATAGCCAACATCAATCTGAGAAACCAAAGTGCCACAAGAGGAATGTGTACATAAAAAGGGTAATAATGATCCTTCTGTAAGATTTCATTATTTATACAGTGGTACCTTGGGTTAAGTACTTAATTCGTTCCGGAGGTCCGTTCTTAACCTGAAACTGTTCTTAACCTGAAGCACCACTTTAGCTAATGGGGCCTCCTGCTGCCGCTGTGCCGCCAGAGCACGATTTCTGTTCTCATCCTGAAGCAAAGTTCTTAACCCGAGGTACTATTCCTGGTTTAGCGGAGTCTGTAACCTGAAGCGTATGTGTCAGGGGTTCAGAGAGAGAGGCACAGGGTAGGCAGGAGATGGAGAGCGAAGGGGAGGAATTCCAAGCCAGCGAGGAAGAGGATGACAATGACTCAAGGGATTCCATGAGTCTTTCCAGCGAATCAGAGGATTCCCAGAAGGGGGCGCCGGTGGTCAGGGACAGGGGAGCCCGAGGGGGGAAATGTCAGGAGCAGGGTGCCAGCGGAGGATCCCAAAGTGGCAGCTGGGCGTCAGGACCAGCCTCCCCACCAAAGTGCAGTGAAGGGGGTGGAGTTTCCAGTGTGTCAGAGGAAGCAGCTCCAGCAGCAGAGAAAGGAGGGGGGTCAGAGCAAGCCGCCCTCCCGGAAGGGGAGGGGAGCAGTGAAGGGAGTAGTGTAACTGTCAAAAGGAAAGTTAGAGGTTTGGCGCGCGCGCCTAGTTCAAATGTAGAGGCGCGCGGAAGTGCAGGGAGTCCGGAGGAGGGGCCAGGTCCCAAAGCCCGCAGGAGGGGGGAAGAGCAGTCTGATTCCGCGTCAGAGGAATCCAGAAGGGGCGCAACCCCAGGGGGCAGAAGGACCCTGCGGAAAAGGAAGGAGAGAAAGAGGTGGAGCAGCGCAAGTCTCTTAAATTGGTGCAGAGGAGGTACTGATTCAGAGGGGACTTCGGCGGTCTAGCGTAAGAGACGTAAGGCTGCTCGCCTAGGATGTCAAGCCAACCATGAACTGCAATAAACACCTTTGTATACAAGAAGACGTAGGCGTTGGTCTTTTGTGAGCTAAGACTTGAGGCAGCCTTGACAGTAAGTCCCCTCACAGAACAAAAAACCGCAAAATTTTTTTTTTTTTGCACAGCTCACGACGTTCGGCAGCACCGCCTACTGAGGAGCAGATAGCGTCCCTTCAAAACGCAGTCACCGAGATCTACACTGCCGTCGTGGTTTCTCAGAAGACAGTTGCAGAAGCAGAAGCGCGATGCCAGGATCTGCAAGCCAGGTGGGATCGGGCGTGCAAAGAGGGGTTCCCGGGGTCCAGATCAGAGGGAATCGGACTGGGACGAAGGGGGGGGCAATTTAGTAGCCCACTTCGATGGAAAAGACCCTGATGTTGGGGAAGATGGAGGGCACAAGGAGAAGGGGACGGCAGAGGACGAGATGGTTGGACAGTGTTCTCGAAGCTACCAGCATGAGTTTGACCAAACTGCGGGAGGCAGTGGAAGACAGGAGTGCCTGGCGTGCTCTGGTCCATGGGGTCACAAAGAGTTGGACACGACTAAACAACAACAACAACAACAACAACAACAACACACACACACACACACACACACACACACACACACTCCCTACATTGATAGAACTCTTGGGCATTCCCACCATAAATGGGGAAAAAGTGAGCAAAGGCAATGAAATCTGTTATTTGCTTTGGGCAAAGGAGGCATTCCGCATGGTTCCTAAGCCTTGCAATGAAGGATAAACAAAAGCTAGGCAAGCCTTGTTGGCGGAATTGCCCTTGTTTAATTAGATCTCATTGATACAGGAGCAGCTGAACCACTTCCCTGTCTTTATAGACTAAGCATGTGTTGGGTGACAAAGCCGCGAGGGGCACTCCGGCCTTCTCCCCTGTGCCTTGGTACCAGCAGGAAGGTTGGAGTGAATTGCTTCTCTGCAAATATAATTCCTCCCCCCACTCTTTCCAAAAGTTCGCAGGTTAGGCCTGAACATCTGCGAGTTCCTCAGCTGAGGTTCCAGCAGCTGCTTCTTGTGCTCTGCTGTTCGCTCGCTGCTTTTGTGCCTTGCTCTCAGCTGCATCGCAAAGGAGGACCTGCAGGATAATATATGTGCATCTTATTACGGGCTAAGATACAGACATCACCTCTGGCACCCGACTTTGGCCTGATTATCATTGCCAAACCAGGCAAAATATGTCTGAGGTCACAATACCGAGACTGGAACAGTTGTGAATAAGCCAAAGGGGGAAGAGAGAGACAAAATAGCTTGCCCTCCATAGAGACAACTCACCCCCCCCCACAAAAAGCTGCTTTATTTCAGCCTCAGTAAAACTACTTGTTAGCCCCTAAAAAGAAACCTTGTACCTAACAGCAACATAGCACAACCTTATGGTTCCCTTGGAAACATCCAAAGCGATTCAATGGGCTCAAATAAATGGGAACATTAGCTGGGTTACACAGTGGAGCAGCTGAGACTACTCACCATTTTCCAGGACTTTCCCCTCACCCCCCCCCATAGCTTAAAAAACTGCTCCGCTTTTAAATTTTCTAATTTTGTTTTTGTATCGGCATTGCTGGCAAAAACATTTTTATTGCCCGCTCTCTCTTTTGACCATTTGCTGTCAATGATCTCACCATATACTTATCTGATTGGCCACATAACGTTGTGACATCATCCTGGCTACTGTATGATGTGACTGGCAGAAACCAGTAGATAGCTATAGATTGATTTTATTGATCTCTTTTATGAAAGTGTGGATATTCAAGCAAGCAAGCAAATGTGTCTGCAAATGTATCTTTAGATTTGGGAAGCAACGCCACCTGTTTCAGAGCTGCTCTGTGCCTTTCCAATTTGACTTGATATCCAGGACTGCGTTAGATATGTTGAAAATGAAGCCCTGTTTTTTCCTCAATCACTAAAATGGGGAGCCTAAAAATGGCCATAACATTATTATTATTTTACTTGTCACAGAAGTGGATGATATTTGCAGGCGTAGCAGTCTCCCCAGAGAGAATTAAGCCTGCCAAATCTGTAGGCAAATAGAACTAGGAGATTTCATGCAGAGCACCTTTAAATCTTCTTCTTCTTCTTCTTCTTCTTCTTCTTCTTCTTCTTCTTCTTCTTCTTCTTCTTCTTCTTCTTCTTCTTCTTCTATTCTGCCAGAATTGGATGCAATTTGTAGACACAGTCATGTATTCTGAGAGCTGCCCAATTTCACAATGATAGTTGCAGTGGTATTCTCACCATTTGCCAATTTTGGATTGGGTACACTTGGAATCATAAGGGATGGAGTGGGAGAAAAGGATCATAGATAACTAGAATTGTTTGGGATTCTGGTGGGTGTGGATGGACTGCTCTCCCTGTCCATAGATCTGGGAAGATATAGCCTCTTATCCTTGGTAAAGAGAGAGAGAGAGAGATCTCAACTGACCAACTTGGATGGCTTTTAAGGAGGACTGAACAAATTCATGGAGAATATCAATGGCTACCAGCCATGATGGCTGTGATCTGCCTTCACAGTCAGAGGAAGCTATGCTTCTGAATACCAGTTGCTGGAAACTGCCAAACGGGAGAGTGCTCTTGTGCTGAGGTCTTAAAGGCTTGGATCAACTGAACCTTAGGGATGCGGGGTGCCTCCAGAAGTGCCCCATCAGAACCTTCAGTGTGAAAGGCCCTGCTAGAATAGCCTATTGGATCAGGCCAATGGTCCATCAAGTCCAGCATCCTGTTCTCACAGTGGCCAACTTGATGCCTGTGGGAATCCTACAAGCAGGATACGATCACAACACTCTCCCCTCCTATGCTGTTCAGCGACTGATATTCAGGTGCACTGCTGCCTTCAACAAGAAACATATTGCTCCCCAAGTTGGTTCCTCTCTGGTAACCCTTCAGGAATACAGGATTATCTCCCATCCAAAAGGCTCTAGGGTTAGACATAGGGTTAGGCAATCATGGAGTTGGAAGGGACCCTGAGGATCATCTAGTCCAACCCCTTGCAATGCATGAATGTAGCTTTCCCTTACGGCAATCGAACCTACAACCTTGGCGTTATCAGCACCACACTCTAACCAACTGAGCTATCCATGCTCTGTTGTTGCCTAGTTCATTATCACTTCTGTTTCAGATATCCATCAGGGCCTGTCATCTTCCAATTGCTACTGAACTTCAGTTCCCATCCTCCTCTAACATTGGCCGACATAATCTGAAGGCTCGTGGATTTGCACCCCTCAACCTGGACAAGATGGGGAGGAGAAAGATCTGAGCTTTTTCATGGTCCTCTTCCCAATCCTGAGGAATTAAACCTAGCAGTAGTGATGGGCAGAACGGTGCTCACCTGACTTGCCATTGGCTGAATTTCTGCTACTTGTTGGGAGGTAGAGAGGAAGGGAAAAGGCAACGGTGAGGTCAGTGTGGTGCAAACCCACCAGCAAAGGCACTGGATTGACTCCATGTGTACATCTGCGCTGCAATGTTGACACTACTGGACTCTAGACTTTGACAGCACAATCTGCTTTGTTGGCACTGGGATCCCACTCCACGTTTCGTTTATCTCAACCCCTCGAAGCAGTGTTGTCAGAGTTACTGGGCTGGCAGTATTAAAACTGCATGACCCTGGCTTGTTCGTTCTGAATGTCAACCAGTCAGACAGAGAGCTAGCTATAATCCAAGACACAACCACCAAGTCCTACTAAAACTGAGAACCCGGCCGAAAGGCAGACTGAGATGCTGAGCAATTCGTGGGGATTTGGCAAAGTTCTTTGAAGGTCTACCAACGGGGGCATCGTTGGAAGAAGTCTGGCTTGCAGCAGTTCATTATTAAGGATGCCTGAATGATGTCCCTATTTCCCCATTGCTCACTTTTATGTGGGGGCCGGCCTGGAACGCAGTATATTATGCAACGGCTTTGTCATGTCTCAGCAATGATATTAAGAGTCTAATGCTAAACAGGTTCCGAGGAAATGAGGAGGGGGGAAAAATGACTTACTATATTTACCCTGAAACAAGATTCAATCTGCCACTGTATTTAATGCTATATTTTTCATTATCTCACAAGCATATGTTGGAAGGGCTACAGATGATGAAGTTAGCTGCTGGGCAGAGCTATCATCAGTGCTTTCCATCTTTATTTTAATAAGAGGAATGAGCAAATTGTTTGTGACCTTCGTGAAGGGCTTCCTGGAAGACAAGGAAACCTCACTCGCAACAGAATCACTAGCCTGGAGCCCTGCTGAATATTCAAAGCTCTTGTTCTGAATAAATTGCGTTGCAATAAAGCTATTGTGTCTGATGGAGTCATAGCTGCCATGGAAGCAATGAGCTCTGTAGGCAAAAAATGCTTGTATAAGACCCCCACTCCACCCCAATATTGGCAGCAAAGCGTTGTCTGAACCACTAAAGAGCTATAGGAAATACCTTTCTATTTGATGACAAAATTGGACATGCCCAGAGGAAGCCAACCAGGATAGTGGCATGAGATTTCTGGAAGCCAAGTCCTATGAGAAATCATATAACAACAACAACAACAATACCAATGTTAGTCCTACTGAAAGTAGGCCCATTAGAATTAATGGCCATGCCTAATTTAGGTCTATTGATTTCAATGGGTCTACTCTGAGTAGAAAGTTGTTGGGGACAACTCATTAGTTTTACTTAATTTCTGAATAGATTTGCAAATCTATGCATCAAAGTGTTCTGTGCTGATTCTGAGCTGGCCAGAGAGAGATGTTTAGTCTGAACTCAGTTATGGTAGCGTGAAGATCCTGTATGATCCTTTGATTCTCTAACTGATTGTTCATTGCAGTGTGCCCACTCTTTCGTTGTGGTATGAATCAAGACCCCCATCAGCGCTATGTCTTTAATGCAGTAATCCTAACACTTTAAGCAGTTGTGGCTTTCCCTAAAGAATCCTGGGAACTTTCTTAAGGGTGCTGAGAGTTGTTTGGAGACCCCACATCCCCTCCCAGAGCTACAACTCCCAAAGTGGTTTAATGATCAAGTCTTCTTTCCAGGGAACTCTAGGAATTGTAGTTCTGTGAGGGGAATAAGGGTATGAACTGGAGAACACACCTTCCAGGGATAGATCTGAGATACACTTGAGTATTGGCATCCTCAACCTTGACATGACCTTAGCATCTCTTTGCATTTTTTTGTCCTGGGGTATGTGACCTTTTGACACTTCCCCTTCCTTCTCCCTGTTCCACTTGGGGGTAGCCATTGCTTTGCACTAAATTAGCTTTGGAAATGAGGAGATGGGAGAGAGAGATAGCAGTGTGTGTGGCAAATATATTCAGCGTGCAATGTGATGGAGACAGCAGCAGTTGTGACTGTACCAAGGCAGGTCTGCAGCCAAATGCAATGTGGATCGCCTCCTTTGCCAAGTGCAGATGGACGCTGCAGCCATCTGGCCTCAGGCAGCCAAGTATCCAGCAAGACTCCCAAGATGAGCCACAAAGGTGGCAAACATATTTAACCAAGGGGGCTCAAAGCTACCTCTATTATGTCCTCCATCTGCTTCTTCCAGCCCACCAGCCTACTCGGCACTATCCAATACGGCTTGAGCCTCAGTCACTCGGCTTCCATCAAAGCCTTTTACTGCAGAATGAAATAGTTATTCCTCAAATAAACCGAGTTTGCACATAGCGTCATATGCCAGCACAGAGGGCAGACACGTTCATGTGAATAAATAGAGCAAGGGCACAAAACACGACGAGGACAAGGAAATGGGGAGCCTAAATGTATTAAGTACTGACTGCAAAGACGCATGCATCTATGGATGGGGGATAAATTCAGTTTGCTTTGCATGCTAATGAGAAACGACCCAATGCGCACTTTTCAAACCAATATGCGATCTGAAGCACAAGTATCTTTCAAAATTCACCATGCTTTGAATTTTGTAATACGGTTCTCCAGCCAAGCCGTGTCTACAAAAATGCATAAATTAGAGGCAAGCAAGCGTGCATCAGAATGCATGAGTGAGTTGAAATAACATACCAAAATGCATTATATAAGGGGGAAATGTTTACACTAAGGGGGGAATTAGCACTAAAACTGGCATCTATTCCGGAGGAGAGCAGCAGAAAGCTATATAACAGGGTGTTCTGAGGGTCTGGGGTTTTGCCGGTCTGGGATCTGCTGGAACCAGAGCTGGCACCAACCAGCAGGAAGCCCTGATTGCTGTGCAGGTGGAAGGATCAGACCCAGTCTGCTCCATCCTTCTTCCGCCACTGTGAGTGGCTGGGCCGTGGGATTCGGCAGTGGAAGCAGGAAGTTAGGTAGCTCAGGTGGTTAGAGAGTGGTGTTACTAACACCAAGGTTGCAGGATTGATCCCTGTATGGAATAGCTGCCTATTTCTGCATTGCAGGGCATTGGACGAGATGATCCTCAGGGTCCCTTCCAACTCGATAATTATATGATTCTAAGATTTGTACATTTCTTAATCAAAAGAATAAAACCTGTAAGTGGTTTACGGGGAAATGATTTTAATTAAAATTAGCAACAAAAGCCCAAGTGAAATAGTAAATGCAATAAAATGGCATGTCCATTGGGATGCAGAAGAGTGGAATCAGTGGTGTGTGGGAAGGTCCACTGGTAGGCCTTTGGCCCAGGCCCTCCTAGAGAAAAAAAAATGCTTACATCCCTGTTATTGGGTAAGGTGTGAAATGGCCTTCCTTGTCAGAGAACCAGGAGGTGATGTGGTTCACCACTGGATGCAACACATGATGCTAAACCTGGGTTTGGTATCATATACAGTCATACCTCGGGTTACAGATGCTTCAGGTTGCGTTTTGGAAGTACTGGAATGGGTTACTTCTGGGTTTCGGTGGCCGTGCATGTGCAGAAGTGCTAAATCGCGCTTTGTGCATGCAAAGAAGCGCCGAATCGCAACCCGCGTGTGTGCAGACGTGCCACTGCGGGTTGCGAATGCTGCAGGTTGCGAACATTCATCCCACACGGATCACGTTCGCAACCCAAGAGTCTACTGTAATGTGTGCAACTGCTCCATGGTTACAGCCACTCTGACAATTCTTCTTGCATCTGTTTAGTCGTCTTATTTTGAAGTCCAGTCCGTGAGGAATAATAGCCCCCGTGAACGACAAGGAGACAGCAAGCGAAATGTCCCCCACTTTTCGCGACAATTTCTGCCTCTCCTGCTAAACCATCTGCTCATGAGCGCTGGTGGTTGAATGGAAGGTGTAAATCTGGCGTCTCATTGATAGGGCTCCTCCATTGTTTTTGGCTGATCTGCAGCTTCCTGGAAGTTTTCCAGGCCTTCTCTCGTATAGCCAAGGTTGCCGTCATCCAGCGCAAATGCCATATGTTAAGATTCAGATGACATACTACCTAAAAAGTCGCAAATGATTATGCCCTGTCTCTTTTTACAGGGCTGTGATTAGAAATATTTATGTAAATGTACCTTCAGAAGAGAAATGGCAGTTGGTGTTAGGCAGCCAAACGTGTGGCTGCTGTAATGAGATACTTTGACTCAGCCGCAATGTTGCCTCAGAAACAATCTGAATTAACAGTAATGAAAAAATTACTCTTTTCCGTCTTTCTGTCTTAAAATGAAGGGGGGAGAAGACCCATATCTTGATCTTAAATGAGATTTTATTAATTTTTTTGTTATCATTGCCGCCACTGCTTTCTGGAATATTCAAAAGAGGAAAATAAATGTCGGCTCATGCAGTGAAGGAAGGAAACACTGAAATTCAAATTCGTAGGAGGGATCCAGAGGCTGCAGATTCAGAATCACACAATCATTCCCCTCGGAGAGACTTGGGAATCATAGTTTTGGGAATGGAAGAGTCTTAGTATTTCACCAAGCCACAACTCCAGAGATTCCTGGAGGGGCATAGGAACAATTTATACAAATGTTTGCTAAAGAAGTATTAGCAGGTGTCGGGGAACCCAGTCCAGATCACCATAGGTGGTGTCTATGGGGCTTTAACCCCTTTTGTGCTCTGCTTAAAAGGTAAAGGGACCCCTGACCATTAGGTCCAGTCGTGACCGACTCTGGGGTTGCGGCGCTCATCTCACTCTATCGGCCATGGGAGCCGGCGTTTGTCCGCAGACAGCTTCCTGGTCATGTGGCCAGCATGACTAAGCCGCTTCTGGAGAACCAGAGCAGTGCACGGAAACACTGTTTACCTTCCTGCTGGAGCGGTACCTATTTATCTACTTTCACTTTGATGTGCTTTCGAACTGCTAGGTTGGCAGGAGCTGGGACCGAGGAACGGAAGCTCACCCCATTGCGGGGATTTGAACCGCCGACCTTCTGATTGGCAAGTCCTAGGCTCTGTGGTTTAACCCACAGCGCCACCCGTGTCCCTTGTGCTCTGCTTACCAGATGCAACTATTGATGGGAATGATGATGGCACCATCCTTGTAGAATTTTACAGTAGGAATCTGGTCATCTTCCTCCTCAGTGCAGGAACCTCACAACTGCCGTGTCCTCTACAGATGACTGTCTAGTCCTGACTTAAATATCTTCAGCAAATGTGAATCATCATTGTTGTACACCTGGTTGCTGATGGGGTTTGGGGGATTTTGTTTTGCGAAATAACACAAGTTCTTTCCTCTTCCTAGGGCAGCCTTTCTCAACCTGTGGGTCCCCAGATGTTGTTGAACTACAAGTCCCATCAGCCCTAGCTAGCAAGGCCAGAGCTCAGGGATGATGGGAGTTGTAGTCCAACAACATCTGGGGACCCACAGGTTGGGAACCGCTGTCCTATGGGCTGCTGAGGTAGTAGTAAAGGAGGCAGACCAAGTGGTTCATATAACCAATGGCGGAGTTTCATGCTCCGGCACCGGGGACACAGAGCAGGCCAGGGTGTGGCTGGCACGTGTCCTTGGGAGCATGGCGTGCCGCCTGCAGGGGCGTGGCGCCTAGTGTGTGGGACAGCCGTGATGGCACCCCACTGGGATTGTGGTGCTGGGAGCGGTGCGCTCCCCCTGCCCCTCTCTTCCTCCGCCAGTGCATATAACCAATGGAAAGAGACAAACCTGAGTGAGGTATTTTTTAAAAAAACAAAAACAAAACCAACCACCATAGGTATAGATATAGATGATGCATTGTATATATGAAGAATAAGACCCTCCCTTCAGTGTGTGTTTAGTTAAGAATTTCAGTTAAGAGCAGGCTTCCTCAAACTCGGCCCTCCAGATGTTTTTGGCCTACAACTCCCATGATTCCTAGCTAGCAGGACCCAGTGGTCAGGGATGATGGGAATTGTAGTCTCAAAACATCTGGAGTGCTGAGTTTGAGGAAGCCTGGTTAAGAGGGGCTAACTGTCTTTTCTTGTTTCGCACCTCAGACCTGCCTCGTGTTATTGTATTTAGTATCTCCTATTATTATTATTATTTTTATACTGCCCTATACCCGGGGGTCTCAGGACGGTTCACAAAATAATGTTATTTTGTCACAGTTTTCTTTATTATTTCTTCGTTGTTGAAGCTTAGTTTACATTTATGTGAGTCACTTAATTTTTCCCAACTGAAAAAACAAAACTCTGCTGAGGAAAGGTGTGGAATGCCCTAAACTGTGCGAGTGAGGGGATATCCCCAGTTTGATTTTGATAATCATCCCCTCACCTCCACAACATACCCAAAGGTACGTAGTACCAGCACCTTGTTTCCTGCCTTGGCAGAATGGTAGCCTATGAATGCTGCAAAATAAAACCAGCAAAAATAGAGTTCTGTGCCCTAAGAAGCCTACAGTCCATGGCTGCACACACACTGTGCCTTTAAAAGCACGTAGGTTCCCCCAGTGAATCCTAAGCCACTTCTGGCAAACCAGAGCAGTTCATGGAAACGCCGTTTACCTTCCCACCGGAGTGGTACCTATTTATCTACTTGCATTTTGACATGTTTTCGAACTGCTAGGTTGGCAGGGGCAGGGACCGAGCAATGGGAGCTCACCCCGTTGAGGGGATTCGAACTGCTGACCTTCTGATCGGCAAGTCCTAGGCTCTGTGGTTTAACCCACAGCGCCACCCACGCCACCTTTTACAGAGCTACAATTCCCAGCACCCTTGACAAACTATAGTTCCCATGATTCCTTGGAAGGAGACGTGCGCTTTCAATGTATGGTGTGTGTGCAGCCTATAATTCCAAAGGAGAGTAGCTGGCAGGAGTAGGAAAGGGGACAGAGACCAGAGGCCAGGTGAGAAGGGGGAGAATAAGCATAAGACTAAGACCGATCTGTGTTGGGTGAGCGAAAGTGAAGTTACATTCTCGAGCGCATACACGAGCATGCTGATCCATGCTGCCTTCTAAGCGTAGCCCTCATGCCTGCCTCAGTGGGCACACTCCCCGGGTGGGCTGTCACCAGGGGATCAACTCACACATGATTATGCGAAGGATCAGCATGATCGGCTGTCACTGATTTCACTGACATCTGTCCCCACAGTGAGACAAGCTGCAAACATGAATTATTGAGGACGTACACATGCGGATCTGTGTCATGATTACGCCAAACAATACACTTTGCCGCACTCTTGAGAGACGAAGGCAGGGAGGCTGGTGGCCAGCTGCCTTTTAACCCTTGTTGACAAGCTGTTCCTATCTTTCCCGGTACTCAGACTTCCTTGGTTTCTAAGAATTGTTGCCTGCACGGCTCTTGTACTGTTAATAGCATTATTGCCAAAGCAACATGAACTTAGCGGTGGTAGTTACTGTTCACTGTTAGCTTTATTTCAAACAGTCCTTTACGCAATAATAATAGGGATGTTAGCCATCTGGATGTTTGTTTTCCTGGAAATGCACACGTCATAACGCACTAGGGGGCATTCTGTAAAATATGATAACATGCAGCTAAGAATTATCAGGAGTGATGCAGCACAGTGCATGCAAAACCCTCTTTGAAAAAGTTTGTGGCCTACTGGAGGTTTCCGAGCACAATTCACAGTGTTGGTGCTGACCTTTAAAGCCCTCAACGGCCTTGTCCCTGTATACCTGAAGGAGCATCTCCACCCCCATCGTTCAGCCTGGACACTGAGGTCCAGCGCCGAGGGCCTCCTGGCAGTTCCCTCCCTGTGAGAAGTGAGGTTACAGGGAACCAGGCAGAGAGCCTTCTCGGTGGTGGCGCCCACCCTGTGGAACGCCCTCCCATCAGATGTCAAAAAAACAACTACAGTGGTACCTCGGGTTACATACACTTCAGGTTACATACGCTTCAGGTTACAGACTCCACTAACCCAGAAATATTACCTCGGGTTAAGAACTTTGCTTCAGGATGAGAACAGAAATCATGCTCCGGCGGCGTGGCATTAATGGGAGGTCCCATTAGCTAAAGTGGTGCTTCAGGTTAAGAACAGTTTCAGGTTAAGAACAGACCTCCAGAATGAATTAAGTTCTTAACCCAAGGTACCACTGTATATAACATTTAGAAGATATCTGAAGGCAGCTCTGTTTAGGGAAGTTTTTAATGATTGATATTTTAATGTATTTTTAATCTTTTATTGGAAGCTGCCCAGAGCAGGGTATAATAATAATAATAATAATAATAATAATAATAATTTGGCAGGGAAGGTAAAGTGTGTATACAGGGAATTTTTTTTCCAGCTGGAACTCAGTCCTGGCACCTCTCAGCTGGGTGCCATTCCCATTATAAGAGAATAAGGTGAGTTCTGGCACATCTCATTGTGGAAAAATAGTGTTGTGTGTATGCACAAAATGAATTCATCCCTGCTTCTTATATTGGATAAAATTTCAAAACCAAGGAAGAAGACCTCATGTAGCATCCTTTTGCATCCATGGTTTCTCAAGGGGTGGTGGTGCTGTGGCTCAGTGGAGAGTGGTTGTTGGCACCCATCTGTCTCGAAAGACAATGGAGTGTGCCTTTGGGGGTGAAGTCAAACCACTGTGTTAGCAGCGCTGAAGTGCTCCAAGTGGTATACAACATAAAACCAGTAAACCATAGCATTCAAACAACCCAGTAAAGCAGTGGTATAAAAGAATATAGATTCATATAGAATCATAGAACTGTAGAGTTGGAAGAGAACCCGAGATTCATCTAGTCAACAACCCCCTGCAATGCAAAGATCGAATAGAAAAACAGGAATTACTGGAATTCTAGCAAATGAAAAACAGAGTTTGATCTTATGGGTGAGGGGAAACCTGGGCAAGGAGATACATCCTTACAAGACATCTGGAGCAAGTGGTGGTTTTTATTCTGCAATTTTAAATTGTGGTGTTTTAGTGCTTGTGAGGGTGGCGCTGTGGTCTAAACCACAGAGCCTAGGGCTTGCCGATCAGAAGGTCGGCAGTTCGAATCCCCTCGACGGGGTGAGTTCCCATTGCTCGGTCCCTGCCCCTGCCAACCTAGCAGTTCGAAAACATGTCAAAGTGCAAGTGCTGGGAATTGTAGCTCTGTAAAAGATGGCGCAGGTGGCGTGGGTGGCGCTGTGGGTTAAACCACAGAGCCTAGGACTTGCCAATCAGAAGGTCGGCAGTTCGAATCCCCTCGATGGGGTGAGCTCCCATTGCTCGGTCCCTGCCCCTGCCAACCTAGCAGTTCCAAAACATGTCAAAGGGCAAGTAGATAAATAGGTACCACTCTGGCGGGAAGGTAAACGGTGTTTCTGTGCACTGCTCTGTTTCGCCAGAAGCAGCTTAGTCATGCTGGCCACATGACCCGGAAAAACTGTCTGCGGACAAACGCTGGCTCCCTTGGCCTATAGAGCGAGATGAGCATGCAACCCCAGAGTCAGTCACGACTTGACCTAATGGTCAGGGGTCCCTTTACCTTTACCTTTAATGCTTGTGAATGAACGTTAGAGGCTAGCTTCAGGACAATGACTATTGCGAAGGTGATATATTGTAACTACCCTGAGCCTTGTGATGTGATGACAGAATAGAAATTGAAATACATTTATTTACAAGTTGTGTCATTCTTCTCTGCTTTGTAACCACTCATTTAATTTTTAAAAAATCCTTCTATCCAAGAGATCTCAAACAAAAGAAGTCCCGAACATATACTGTTGAAGACAGGGGATGAGGGCTTATGGAAAGATCAAAGACCAGGAATGTCAAAGTAATCATAATCCAGCTCTTGGACATAGTGTTTTATATCAGAAGCCTAGGAATATTTAGGGCTTTATGATAATGGATTATTTATTCTAAATATACTCCAAGTAATTGTATAGCTCATATCCAGCAGGTCAGGATTACCAATTTCATTACAGTTTTCAGAGATTGCAAGCCTTTAGACAATTACTGTAAGTCCCATCTAAGAGGTGAAATCATTTCCTCAATATGGGATGGAGAGAGATACTGATATTGCTTTCTCTAAGATTCAATTTCATTATGTGGGGAGAGGGGAAATCCTTCTCTATCTCATATTTAGTTCATGGAGATCAGGTGTGATAAACAGAGCTCGCCCCTCACTCCTGCCCCCAGCTAAAGGAGGAAGGACCCACTTTCTGAGAATTTTGCTCCCATAAAACTTTTGAAATGTTTCCCCTCTGAATTGTTTGGCTTGTTGATGTCCTAAACCGAGTTCTGATGAGTTTCGGCTGAAAAAAAGCCCTGAGGACGGTGATGATTTCAATCTATATAGCGTCCTTTATCAAAAGATCTCACATTACAAAATCAACAGTGATAAAAGCATAATAAAAACACAGTAAAAAGCAATGCTTTTTTCTGGGGGCATGCAAGAGTATGCAATACCAGCACCTTTTCCCCCAAAAGAAAAGCACTGATAAAAAGCATACGGGCAAAGAGGCTAATAGTAAAATGATCATATTAAGAACAGTCCTCTCCCCCACACTTTCACAGACCATAGGATTATTTAATAGCCATAAGCTTGATGTCATCCACCTGAGTACTGATGGACAAATCCGTCCATTTTGATTTTTCCAGTTTCTCGTTTTCCCAGTCTTTGTGATGTTGTGTGTGTATGTGTTACATCATCTGCGCTTTACCTTTGAGTTTGTGCTTGGCAGGTCACTCTCTCTTCCTGTGGTTTCCAACAGTTGGAAAAATGCCCTGGGGGTGCCTGCAAGCCCCCGAAACTCTGAATGTCCTCCAGTATGCGCAGCTCTGGAAAAGGCATCTCCCTTCTCTTCCAGTCCGCTTCCTAGCGACATATACCAGCTGGTATATGCACACTAATCTTCTGGCATAACACAGCAAGAAGAGTGAGACATCGTATAGCTAATCTACTGTTTATTTACACACTATGTACAGACAAAAGCAGGGATGCGGGTGGCGCTGTGGGTTAAACCACAGAGCCTAGGACTTGCTGATCAGAATGTTGGCGGTTCAAATCCCCGCAACAGGGTGAGCTCCCGTTGCTCGGTCCCTGCTCCTGCCAACCTAGCAGTTCGAAAGCATGAAATGCAAGTAGATAAATAGGTACCGCTCCGGTGGGAAGGTTAATGGCATTTCTGTGCGCTGCTCTGGTTCGCCAGAAGCAGCTTAGTCATGCTGGCCACATGACCCGGAAGCTGTCTGCGGACAAACACTGGCTCCCTCGGCCTATAGAGCGAGATGAATGCCGCAACCCCAGAGTCTTCCACGACTGGACTTAACAGTTAGGGGTCCTTTACAGACAAAAGCATAATGGTGTCCATTCTTTCCAGCTCCAAGAGAACAAACAAGCACAAGTAAAAGTGAAAGTACATTACAGCGGAAATAATAAGAAATAAGAAATAAGACTTCCTTCCGTTTCCCACACTCTTTTCAGACAGGCATGTGATTTACAACAATCTCATCTGCAGCATTTGGAGGAGTGAAATTGCTGGTATTCGGAAGCATAATTGCCTCCCACTGTGGAGTCAGAGTTTACCCATTATAGCTAATAAGGTAAAAAGGTAGGTAAAGGACCTCTGGATGGCTAAGTCCAGTCAAAGGCTACTATGGGGTTGTGGTGCTCATCTCGCTTTCAGGCCGAGGGAGTCGGCATTTGTCCACAGACAGCTTTCCGGGTCATGTGGCCAGCAGGACTAAACCACTTCTGGTGCAACGGGACACCGTGACAGAAACCAGAGTGCACGGAAACGCCGTTTACCTTCCCGCCACAGTGGTACCTATTTATCTACTTGCACTGGTGTGCTTTCAAACTGCTAGGTTGGCAGGAGCTGGGATGGAGCAACGGGAGCTCACCCCGTCGCGGGGATTCGAGCTGCCGACCTTCTGATCTGCAAGCCCAAGAGGCTCAGTGGTTTAGACCACAGCGCCACCCACGTCACCCAGGGTTCCTATGGCTAGTAACCATCAATGACCCTCTTCTCCATGAATTTGTCCCATCCTCTTTTAAAGCTGCCCAACCTGGTGGCCGTCACTGCCTCCCTTCTGTGGGAGTGAGTTCCATAGTTTAACTATGCACTTCATGAAGAAGTATTGTCTTTTATCTGTCCAGAATCTTCCAACATTCAGTTACATGGATGCCCATGACTTCTAGTACTGTGAGAGAATCACAGAATTGTTGAGTTGGAAGGGACCACAAGAGTTATCCAGTCCAACCCCCTGCAATGCAGGAATCTTTTGCCCAACATAGTCCTCAAACCCATGACCATGAGATGAAGAGTCTCATGTTCTACTGACTGAGCTAGGTAGATGGCTTTGAGCAGGGTATTTTTAACAATGAAAGAAAACAAATATTAAATAGGTGCGTCTTCAGCATTCACCAAAAGCTGGCTAGGAAGGTTCCAGAAGGCACTTCTGTGGGAAGGGAATCCCACCACTTAATCTAGAATGCCCTCTCACGGGCTGACTCCAACACTCCAGACTTCTGAAGGAGGCGGAGCTACCAAAATGACTCCCGCCATTTTGGCCTCCAATCCTATAGACGCTTAAGTGGGGGAAAGCTCCATGGAACTCTATGGTGCTTACTTCAGAGTAGAAACATATAGGAATGGACTTCCAATCTCTTAGGGTTGTCTTCAACCAAGTCCTACTCATAGAAGAGTAATTATTGAAATTAATGAACCTAAGTTTGTCATGTTCATTGACTGAACTAGGACTAGTGCAGAATACCACTCTTGGGCAAGAATTCTGTTCTCACCCCCTTCTCACACTGAACTCAGACAACCTTGCTTCTGAGTGGATGTTTATAAGATTGTGCTATTAGGGTGATTTTGATCAAACTGCGGGAGGCAGTGGAAGACAGAAGTGCCTGGCGTGCTCTGGTCCATGGGGTCACGAAGAGTCGGACACGACTAAACGACTAAACAACAACAACATTAGGGCGATATCTAACACATCCCATCAGTGCAAGGATTTACGCTTGAGCAATGGAACTTTCCTCTCGCCCCATGCAGCCCGTAAATCTGTTCTAGGGATTCCTTCAGCCCTCCAGAACACATTTGGAGAGGGTGAGAGTTGCATACAGGGAAGGAGCAGAGAGAAGTTCTGTTGTGCAAGTGTAAATTTTTGCGTTGACCACGCGAAGTGTTACTTGGGTAACGCCCTTACTTACTGCTCTTTCGCCATTTACCTAGCCATGGGTTAAATTCTCTGTCTCTCTGTGTGTCTGTCTCTTACTCTCTGTACCAGCAACTCCCTTTCAAAATACCCACCAGTCACCAAAGGTTCTTGAGAGAAAAAAGAAAAGGAAAAAAACACGACTGCTCGTGTAAACAATTAATGGTTGTTAAGCATGGCAGTGTATATTATGACAAACAACACATGCTACATTATGCCAGCTGGTGTAATGATGTGATAATGTCTGACTCATTAACTCTGGCACACAGTTTACGATGCCCTTCTATGACAGGATTAATTGATTCACACATACATTAAAACAAAAATAACTAAACGGAAATTCAGCTGGAAGCTTGGCTCCTCACTTGTCATAAACCCCCACTGGTAGTTAAAACTCGAGAGGGCCCCTTTACGGGTTCAGCCCCAGAGTTTCCACACCAGATTTTGCAGGGGTGTGTCTCGATCGATATTCTATAAGTGGAAAAGTTGGATTTAAAAATAGGGTGTTGTTGTTGTTTAGTCATTTAGTCGTGTCCGACTCTTCGGGACCCCATGGACCAGAGCACGCCAGGCACTTCTGTCCTCCACTGCCTTCCGCAGTTTGGTCAAACTCATGCTGGTAGCTTTGAGAGCACTGTCCAACCATCTCGTCCTCTGTCGTCCCCTTCTCCTTGTGCCCTCCATCTTTCCCAACATCAGGGAAGTCTTCTCTTCTCATGAGGTGGCCAAAGTATTGGAGCCTCAGCTTCAGGATCTGCCCTTCCAGTGAGCACTCAGGGCTGATTTCCTGAAATATAGGGTAGTTAGGGCCAAATCCAGGCTATCCAGCGGATGTAAGACCTGGTCTCACGGTTGACTACAAGAGGACTCTGGGCAGTGATCACTTTGCTGGTGTAAATCCTATAAATCTGGTTTGCTGAACCAACCAGTTATTGCTTATATGTGTTGGGGAAAGGGATCTCTGCTGAAGATCCACCTGTCTTCAAAGACACAATGCCTTTGTTCAAGCGTATGATCTATTGGGAGAGTGATGGAAGGATCCAGAGATATGCTAAGGTCAAACAGGTAGGCTAAATTGGATGAAAGAGGCAGATAGACCGGAAAATAACTTTGAAAACTATTCTCTTCTGTTTTCCTATGCCTAACCAGTAGGGTTCAGAGATGGTACATTAGAGCATGAAAGGTCTTCTTAGTGCTGCTTCATGCATTTCATGTTCATACATTGATATCACTTCACTGTAAGAAACTGTGGGTACTCAGACAGCATTCAGCACTCTGTTCAGTGGTCACATCTGTCTAGTCTACCACAGGAATATATGTGCCAGGATGCCCTTCTTGGAAGCAGCATCATGGGCGCCCTTGCCAAGCGGACATGTGAAATGGTCACACAGGTCCATCTGCAGGACTGGGCATACAAAAACCCATCTATGAAATGTGTACCTACTTGGGAATTTATCATGTGGGATCACTTGTGAAACACCTTCCTCTTATTGATCAGAAATGTGCCCTGGAAGTACAATGGTACCTTGGTTATCAAGCTTAATCCGTTCTGGAAGTCCGTTCCAAAACCAAGGTGTGCTTTCCCATAGCAAGTAATGCAAAATGGATTAATCCGTTCCAGACTTTTAAGAACAATCCCTAAAACAGCAATTTAACATGAATTTTACTATCTGACAAGACCATTGAGCCATAAAATGAAAGCAATAATCAATGTGCTGTACTATAAAATAAAGAAGACAGTATTGTAGATGATAAAAATAACCCCCCCCCTTACTTGCACTGATGATAGTTATTGCTTGGATTTTTATCCATTTCCACAGTCACACAATCAATCAATCAGTAGCTGAACTGGGTTCCACACAGTCACAAAAACGAAATTAACTGAAGAAGCCTCAAAAACAAAAATGGAAAATAAATAGCAAAAACAAAAGTGCCAAACTTAATCCATTCCGGAAGTCCGTTTGACTTCCGAAATGTTCGAAAACTAAGGCGCAGCTTCTGATTGGTCCAGGCACCCCGGAAACGATAGCCGACAGCCGCATCGGATTTTTGGCTTCCAAAAAAGTTTGAAAACCGAAACACTTACTTACTTGGTGTTTGGGAACCAAGGCGTTTGAGTATCAAGGTGTTTGAAAACCAAGGTACCACTGTACTGTATTTGCACCCAACTCAGGTCAATGAGATCCAATCAGTTTCTGTATCAGAACTGTCAGTCAATTCTGGTGCTGGACTAGAGCTACTTGCTTGGGGTTCTGTTCTTGACATTTAAGGCCTTGAACAACTCGGATCCACCTCACTCAGTACACATTGAGCCAATCTCTTAGATCTTCTGGGGAGGGCTTTGTTGGCCAGTCCATGGTCAATGGATTGTCACCCGGTGACAACATCAAAGCAGACCTTCTTGGTGGTAGCACCCACACTTTGGAAGGCTCTAGGGATGGGGCAGACACTGAATATAGTCTGCATTTAAAGGCAAACCTACCTAAACTTGCACAACCCAAAAGAATTTGTGGACTGAAACACAACCATTCTTCAAAATTCAAGCTTCTCTGAATTTTGCAGTGCATCTCTCTATCTGGGGAATGTGCACAGAAATGCAAAAAAAATGGTAAAGTCTGCATAAACATAACACAAGTTAGTGAAAATAACATAGAAGAAATGTATGATATTAGGGAAAAAATGCTTTGCATTTAAAAAGTTGTATTAAACAAAATTGCATACATATATACATGTATTAAGATAAATGTGCACTAAGATGCTGCCAGATTTTCACGAGGATCTTCAAAAATAAATAAATCATAAACTGATGTAGAAGTGTAGAAAACTGAATTTAAATTTGGGATAATGAAAAACAGAGAGAAATTGAAATCGACATATTCACAGATCCTTACTTAGGCCGAGACATTTTAATACCTCTTCCAAACGGTGAGTAAGATCCAGCAAAATGATACTCAGAGCAGAACCGCCGAAATAAACTGACTTAAGTAACTCTGATATCCAACAATCACCCTTTTCTTTGTTTTGTGCACTGCTCACTTTCACTTAACATTCTATAATCTTACTGAGTTGTTGTTGTTGTTGTTGTTGTTGATGATGATGATGATGATGATGATTTATTTATCTCTAGCCTTTTCTCCTGACAGGGACCTCAGGTGATTTAATGATAAAAGTACAAACAGCTACCTGTAGGAAGGTTTACTGAATATTTCTGTTATATTTGTGTACGCTATTGATCTTTTTTACACACTTATTTATGATTCAGATTTAGTATACAAATTGCTGTTAATAAGCAGTATGGAAATTGTACAGATAAATGTGTACTCTGCTGTTTATGTCAGCCCAGAAGGAGCACAGGGCTACCGAAGGCAAAGGTTTTTTTTTATTCTAGTCCTGCTATACTTGTACCAGCAATGTGTGCTTTGAGGCAAAAAGGCAGTTGTCAGCTTGGCGCAAGGAGGTCATTATATGTCTTCCTTCTAGAAGACAGGTGATACCCAGTCAGTAAGACCTTGGGCTGACCCCTCGCTGCGCCAGGGAAACCATGCCATCAACTATCTCTTTCTATGCCCTCCAGCTCAAGAGCTGGTACCAAATGTTCCTCTCCTGAGAGGTGGTGACCCAGGAGCAGGTTATTCTCTGCGATGGGTCCAGAGGACAGCTGGACAGCTGCATCCTGTCATAGCATGCGGGGAAGATCAATGAAACATACAACTCAGTGCTTAATGGTACAGAAATATCTCTTCATCAGCACTCCTAATTACACTTGCTTTGCATTTGAGAGAATGTGTTCTTGACCTCTTCGTATCATTGCTAAAGACGATGGTGCGAGAATGCGGATTTGAAGTAGCGACGTCACCAAAACTTGCACTTACTTGGTTTGGAATGCAAATTTCTCCAGCGCACATTGCAAACTGAGCAGAAGTTCACATTTATACCCCACCTGTCCACCAGTGGGCTCAAGAGGGTGTACATGGTTCACTCCTGAACTCAACGCTATGAAGCAGGTTGGGCTACACAATACAGTGGTACCTCGGGTTACAGACGCTTCAGGTTACAGACGCTTCAGGTTACAGACTCCGCTAACCCAGAAATAGTACCTCAGGTTAAGTACTTTACTTCAGGATGAGAACAGAAATCG